CACTCGAGGCGGCGGTCTCCCGTGCCGCGAAGCCCGAAGCCCGGGGCCAGCGGCGGCAGCAGGAGAAGCAATAGCTGGAAGAGCAAGGGCGCACGTAACATGGTCTGCTCCGGGACGGCAGTGGTGTCTCTGCTTCGCACTCCGCTAGGAGCGCACCGCGCAGACACCCCGCCCGCCCCGCGGCCGCTGATTGGCCGGGTCTGCACCGCGGGGCGCCCGCAGACGGCTGCGGGCTCAGAACCAGCCTGGCGGGGTGGGCTCCCGCAGGCTCGGGGCTAGGAGCTGGAGGACATGCCGAGACCCACACTCTGACACGCACAGGCTTCTTGAGCAGACAGATCCCGTCATGACGACAGCGTGTCCTAAGTCACTGTGGTAACGAGGATTGTATGTCCGGTGTCCTGCTTCAAGGTTGGCTCCGAAGGCTATGCCCTGAATCCTTCCAGAAGGCCACACATTTTCTTTTGCATTAGTAAGTTTTCAAAGTTTGATTTCATACAGGGAACATGTGGTTTGAAATTTCAAAGTTTACAAATGGATGTTAGGATGAAAAGAGGGCTTCTCTTCCACCCTATATTCCAATCCAGACCAGCCTCAAGAATTCACTCCTGCCAGGTGCGGTCCTGTGTACCTTTCTAGGAATATTGCACGCCTATCAAAGCACGTGCGATTGCATAAACCGTGTCTAAACACACACAAGCAGCATGCAACCCATTACAGCCCACTTGGATTTTCATCTGTGTTATTTACGGTCCCTTGCCAGCTCTCAAGTCCTGCTTCCTGTATAATTAATGAAGCATAGTTTAATTGGCTCTTCCTCCCCCCCTCCTCTTAATACTTAGAGTCCTGGTGCATTTCATGTGTACAGTGATTTGGATTGTGATGAGATGACATCTTTTGAACTGACAATGGGCTTTTAAATTTTGCAGTTTAGAAGTCCAAAGTTGTAGTAGTTTGACCAGTATCTGCACCCTTTTGTTACTACAAATAGCGTCCTGCTCAATATCCTTGTGTGGAAGCACAGCAGTGGCTTCATGGGGAGTGCATGTTGGAAAAGCTCAGTGGAATAGGGGTGTGTGTCCATTATTTACTTATTTATGTAACCCCTATGCTTGCTGAGAGCCATGCTCTGTGGACCCAGTGCCTGACAAGAAACCCAAGCGAGTGTTGGGTTGCTTGGACTTTGATGTCTAGCCAAGTGAAGACACTGGCTGGAGGGGAGAGACTTGCTGAGTAGATTTACGCTGAGTTTTCCTGCCTTCACCACCCCTAGCCTGCATTCAACCTGTGTTGTTTTCTTTGTCTGAACTCCGAGAGAAGAAGAAAGCCTCCCAGAGTCTGGGATGACAAATGACAGCTCTCAGGTATGTCTGTTTTGCTTTTCAAGTGCACTTCCTCCCTAGTTTGTGATTTTTCAGGGGATGACTTTACCCAACAAAGAGTTCCTTGCAGAGGCCACCTGATAGGATGGTCAGAGCCCAGCGCAGAGTGCAGGGGTGGCCAGGCACTGTGGGGAGGGGTGGCAATGAGGACTAAGTGTAATGTGGGCATAGCAGCAGCAGGACTGCCAGTACTTAGTGGTTGCTTTCAACCAGGAGGCTGCTGGAATGGCCTTTTAGAGTGCTCATACCTCTGAGAGTCCCTCTGTGCCTCTGTGAATCTTTCCTACGGAGATAATCACTACGTGTGAGGATTTCATCCTAGAATTGGTTACCATAGCAAAAAATTAGAAATGACTTGAATGCCCACTAACAAGCAATGATTAAATAAATTGTTGTACCTCCAACAATAGAAGATTAGGGGGCTCTGAAAATGAGGACGATGCAGGCAGACTGAAATGCCCTTTGCAGCAACATGGATGGAGCTAGAAGGGATTATGTTCTGTGCAATAAGTCAGAAGGAAAAAGAAAAATATTGGCTAGCTTCACTTGCAGGAGGAATATAGGGGAACCAGGGATCAGGGGGAAAATCATAACAAAGCAAAACAAACTTAACAGGCAAATATACATCAGAGACATTCTGCAGGGGTGAGGGGAAGGGTCAAAACAGGAGAGGGAAGAACACAGGGACTTTGGCGATGGTGTACAGGTGAATTGGTGGTGGGAATTCTATGGGGACTACAAATGAGAGGAGAAAGCAACATTGTGCAAAAATGAACAATGATATAAAATGCATACACATTAAACAAATTATATTTAAAAAATAAACT